TGGTGGTGGGGGCCAAGGCAGAGGCGGTTAGGGGCGACCAGGCTGGCAAGGGAGGGCAGTTGGGGGCCATGAGGCCGGCTGGGGAGGGCAGTTGGGGGCCATGAAGCCAGCCGGGGAGGGCAGTTGGGGGCCATGAGGCCGGCTGGAGAGGGCAGTTGGGGGCCATGAAGCCAGCCAGGGAGGGCAGTTGGGGGCCATGAGGTCGGCCAGGGAGGGCAGTTGGGGGGCCATCCGGCCGGCCGGGGAGAGCAGTTGGGGGCCATCAGGCTGGCAGGGGAGGGCAGTTGGGGGTCATGAGGCTGGCCGGGGAGGGCAGTTGGGGACCATCAGGCCGGCAGGGGAGCAGTTAGACAGCAATCAAGTTGGTAGGCAGGCAAGCAGTTAGGAGCCAGTGGTCCCGGATTGGAGAGGGTGCATGCCAGGCTGAGGGACCCCCCCGTGCACAAATTTCATGCACCGGGCCTCTAGTCTATAATAATAAATGCATAATATGCTAATTAAACCTGACATCCTTCTGGATGACCTTCCAGATGAAGCTGGGGCTGCAGCCACGGGATCGAGGAAGCTGCTGTGGCTGCGAGGGATCCAGGCATCTGTCATGGCTGCGAGGGAAGGATCCAGGCAGCCGCTGTGGCTGCAAAGGCCTACTCTAGCACAAATTTTGTGCATCGGGCCTCTAGTAGATTTATAATACAGAGTCAATGCTAATATAAACAATGAGCTTTAATGCATCAACATTGTTCCCTCAATTAAAACAAATACATATAACACAGTAACAGGAAATATGACAAACAGTGTAAACTGTGTGGCTGTAGAGAGCAAAATGAAAACTATTTTCTGATTAATTTTTCTGTAAACCTAAAATGCTCTGAAAAAAACTGAAGTCTCATCATTTCATATCTTAAAAACTATTAGACTTCAAAAAAATTAGTACCGATGCCCTGGCCAGTGTGGCTCAGTTGGTTGAGTGTTGTCCCCTGCACCAGAAGATGGCCAATTCGATTTCTGGTCAGGGCACATAACTGGATTGTGGGTTCAATCCCTAGTAGGGGAGCATGCTGCGGGGGGAGGGGAGGCGGTATTTGGGTGAGGGTAGTCAATGGATGTTACACTTTCACATTGATGTTTCTCTCTCTAAAATCAATAAAAACATTTTTAATAAAAAAGTTAGTGCCAGCTGGTATGGTCAGTGGTTAACATTAACCTATGAACCAGGGGGCCATTGTTTGATTCCTGATCAGGGCACATGCCCAGGTTGCCAGTGTGGGGCATGCAGGAGACAGCAATCAATGATTCTCTCTCATCATTGATGTTTCTAGCTCTCTCTCCCTCTCCCTTCCTCTCTGAAATCAATAAAAATATACTTAAAGAAAAAAAGAAAGTAAAACACATTCTCAAACTTGGAGTCTAGATACTCCTAGTTGAGCTAGAACCTCTAGAGTGGGTCAGCCCCTGGGGAAGGACATAGGTGACAGCTGAGCAGCCCCAGCGATGAATTCTGGGAGATCCACACACCCTTCCCTCTCTTGTAAGCATGGAAGCGCTCCCTCCCCCAGGCTCCCATTCTCAAAAGTGAGGGACCCCTCAGCCTGAATCAGGTTAAGGGTCTGACCCAAATGCACTCCCAACTTCATAAACCTTTTGTCCAGGAGACAGAACCCCTGACCTTCACATGCTTTCTCCAGTGGCACAGCTGGTTAGAGTATGGTATTTATACACAGACTTTGTCAATACACAAATTACACTGAGTGCACCTATATCATGGATGCAAAACTCAACATGTAGAAACATCTAGGCCTAAGAAAACCCCCTTTTCCCCTAAAGGAGGATGGGTGGGTGGGGGGGGGGTGCTTAGTTTGGAGTCACTGGCCTCAGGCCTCTACTCCCAGTCACAATGTTTTGGACCACCATTTATAATCTAAATGACATAAACCCAGTGTGGCAAGAATCTAAAAGTCACCCACTGTTTATGTGCAAGGAGGAAAGTAAATTGTAGGGAACTTTTACTAATTCAACAAGGAAACCCACAAATACCTATTTCTATCAGAAATGAGTATGTCAGCCCTAACTGGTTTGGCTCAGTGGATAGAGCATCGGCCTGTGGGCTGAAGGGTCCCGGGTTCGATTCCGGTCAAGGGCTTGCACCTTGGTTGCAGGCACACCCCCGATGGGGAGTGTGCAGGAGGCAGCTGATGGATGTTTCTCTCTCATCGATGTTTCTAACTCTCTATCCCTCTCCCTTCCTCTCTGTAAAAAATCAATAAAATATATTTTTAAAAAAAGAAATGAATATGTCAGTTAATTATGTCAAAGAAAAGAAACGGATTTGGAACACTTCTAGATGCTGTAAGTCTAGGCCCTCACGTGCCACTAGAAATCACCCAAAAGATAACAACAGCCCTGGCCGGTTTGGATCAGCGGATAGAGCACCGGCTCTCTTACTGAAGGGTTCTGGGTTCAGTTCCTGCCAAGAGGACCCTTGATCCCCCCAGCCCTGGCGAGGGGCACATGCGGAGGCAACCAATCTGCGTGTCTGTCTTGCATCAATGTTTCTCTCTCTGTCTCTCCCTCTCCCTTCCAGTCTAAAAATCAAAGGAAAAATGTATCCTAGGGTGAGGACTAACAAAAAAAGATAACGCGCCGAAACCGGTTTTGCTCAGTGGATAGAGCGTGGACCTGTGGACTGAAAGGTCCCAGGTTCGATTCCTGTCAAGGGCATGTACCTGGGTTGCGGGCACATCCCCAGTAGGGGGCGGGCAGGAGGCAGCTGATCGATGTTTCTCTCTCATCGATGTTTCTAACTCTGTATCCCTCTCCCTTCCTCTCTGTAAAAAATCAATAAAATATATTCAAAAAAAAAAGATAACAGACATCAGAACATTACTACATCCATTTGGGGGGGGGGGGGGGAAACAAAAGTTTTGACTCATATGTAACAATGAAATATTTTATTTTTTCCTGATATTCACCTCTCTATTGCCTCTTTGTAAATACTTTTACTGTATCCCAAGCTCGAGTGATTTAAAAAAATGTTTAATTTATTGAAAAACTGTTTCAAGTGAATAAACATTTTTCTAAGTGACAAACCTAGGGAGGGGCAGGGCCGGGGCTGCGCCGACAGCACCGTCACAGGCGTCTCCGTCTCCGGGACGGTCACCGAGGGCTTCTTCCCACAGCCTGTCGCTCCCTCAGGAACGGGCCTTCCCTCCAAACCATCCCGGTGGCCATTCCTACCCTCCTCTCCGGTAAAACACACTCACAGATAAGTTCCCGAAGAGCCCCCGCGGCCCGGTGGGTGAAGACCACACACTGCGTCCGTGTGAAATGCACCCGGAGGCAACTAGTTAATGACAGGCCGCGACTTGGGGGTCAGCCGGCCTCTGGGATGGGGGACGGGGGCGGGGGGATCGGAAATGTCGGGATTTCCCTCCCGCCCTCGGAGGAGGCGGCTGAGGGGACAGGGGGGTGGGTTTGCGGCTCTGCCTCCCGAACATTTGGAAAGTGAGGGGAAGACAAGGCCCGGGGGGAGAAAGAGGAAGGGGACACACACCACGGCTCCGCCACGCAGAGCCCTGGGACTGAGTCACATCGGCCCTGACGGCCCTTCCCGTGGTCACCG